TGCCCGGCAAGTCATTGCTTTTATATATGGTACAACACTAAAAAAAAATTTTTTTAACTTATACATTCCCCTAAAATGAATGTGTTTTCTCCTGACTATACCATAACTCTGAATCTTGACTGACTTTAAATAGAACAGATTTCTCATCAAAAGCAAGCAAATCCTCTTCTCACAACCAGAAGAGGACAGCAAAACAAGATTTCCAACCTGGGGTCCCAGATCAAGCTTGCTAGCTCACTATGTTTTTGTCTACTGAACACTCCACTCCTGGTAGAGACAGAAGTCCAAAGAATCAAGTATCTATTTTCCTCCTGTCTCTCAAAGGCTTTCAAGAGAAAAATGTGAATTCACTGCCCATCAGCAGGCCACCAGTGATCCAACCTTAAACGCTATAGCAATTTCAGTGTTTTTTTGTTTGGTAGTGCTAGGGTTTCACCATGTTGCCCAGGATGGTACTGAACTCCTGAACTCAAATAGTCCTCTCACCTCAGCCTCCCGAAGTGTTGGGATTACAGATGTGAGCCACTACACCCAGCACAACTTCAGTTCTTAAAAAAGCACAGACTCAAATTTCTGGTCTTTAGATACTCTCTTCTCTGCCTCTCCCCAACCATCTTCTTCTTCACCACTTCCACAAGTCTTCCTGTCATGGAGGAACAGGTCCCTGCCCCCAGCAGGTTGGGAGGGTCACCTCCTCCATTCTCCCTACCAAGCAACTCCACTAACTTCTATCACAGCATTATCACCTTACTATAAATATGTTATGTTAATGGTCTCCCCATTCTGGGCATGGGCTTGTAAAGAGCTTTCCTGGCTAAGACTTGTAATAAAAAATAATAAATAAATAAATAAAAAGACTTGCAATGAAAAAAAAAGTTTTCCACAAGCCCTGTGAAAAATATCCAAGTGATGCCAGCTTCTTATTCTCTACGAAGCCAGTACTAAACTTTGAGATTTTGAAGCTCTTTCCAACAAGGGCTATTTTATTCTAAAACTTTCAGGTTTCAACAGTTCACATCTATTTGTAAAATGACTCAGTCACAAAATGACTATTTGAAAATGGACAGGGGAAAACAGAATACTTGAGAAATGCACCCAAGATGCTAATCTATAACTAATTTACCGTCTCATCTAGCAAGGTTCTACCAGCACTCCTTCCTGCATGCTGTAAATAAGTTTATCTTCAAGCCCTCCAAATATCACCCTCAGAAATCCTACCGGGCTTCCCTAGATAGATGCTGATTAAAGTCAAAATTAACACATCCCTTCTCAGAGTTTTCAACAGTAAAGTGTTGAGGATGGAGGAAGCTTTTCTCTTCATTTCTAAGGGCCAGTAACCTTGTTATTTTATTTCTCCCTACCTAAGGAGAGAAAGAATCCCGAATTTTCTCCAGATTTATTATCTAACAATATAGCTAGCACTTAATGAACGCTCTTAACGTAAGCGCTCAACTACACAGGGCGCAGTAGCTCACAGCTGTAATCTCGGCACTTTGGAAGGCGAGGCGGAAGGACGGCTTGAGCCCAGGAGTTTCAGACCAGCCTGGGCAACACAGAGACCCCGTCTCTACAAAAATTTTTAAAAATTTAAAAATTAGCTGAGCATGGTGGTGCTGCGCCTGTTATCCCAGCTACTTGGGAGGCTGAGATAGGAGGATCGCTTGAACCCGGCAGTTCCAGGGTACAGTGACCTGTGATCACGCCACTGCATCCCATCTTGGGCAACAAAGCGAGACCCTGTCTCAAAAAAAATTACATATATAAGTGTTCAACCACATTCACTTTTAATCTCCATAAACTAAGTTTCACACATTAAAATATAAGAGAAGGCAAAATCACAAACAGAAAGGTAAGAAAACGGAGTTAGTGTTTAATAGCTACAGTTTCTGTTTCCGATGACGAAAAGTTCTGGAGAGGAGGCCAGGCGCCGTGGCTCACGCCTGTAATCCCAGCACTTTGGGAAGCCGAAGCGGGTGGTCAAGAGTTCGAGACCAGCCTGACCAACATGGTGAAACCCCGTCTCTACTAAAAATACAAAAATGAGCCGGGCGTGGTGGCACATGCCGGTGGTCCCAGCTACTAGGGAGGCTGAGGCAGGAGAATCGCTCGAACTCAGAAGGCAGGAGTTACAGTGAGCCAAGATCTCACCACTGCACTCCAGCCTGGGCAACCAGAGCGAGACTCAGTTTCCAAAAAAAAAAAAAAAAAATTCTGGACATGAAACAAGAGTTGTTTACAGCACAGCAGCACTGAGTCAATGTACTCAATGCCACTGAATTGCTCGCTTAAAAAGTTAAAATGGCAAACTCTACCTTATGTCTATTTTGCCACAATAAAATAAATGTCTGGGAAATCCAATGTGTACCCAGGCTTCCCCTCCCTTCCCGGCCCTCCGGTTTTGCAGCTAAAACCTCTCTCTCTCTCTCTCTCTCAAGTGGCTGTAATCAGAATAAGTGAGTTTCACGGAGGCACAAGTCGACGCTTCCTCCTTGATGGAAACTTTTAAAAGCCAAGAAGTCAAAGAGCCTGAGCAGGTCTCAAAAACCTAATGGAGCCCGCAAGTAAATGAAACCGCCTTATGACAAAACAGTTTCCCCAGAACTACGGGAGGAAGGGGATTCTTCCCCCGACTTCATGTCTGTCCGCTTCTGAGGGTGAACGCTGAGCAGGAGATCCCATCTCTCCGCTAATGCCTGCGGCGCACCCGGGGAGAAGGAGCGGGAAGCGGAGAAGGACTTGAGCCCGGGCCAGAGCGTGGGGCGAGGGGCGGTTCCGAGGGAGGCACTTCCCGTCGGGCGGGGAGGAGGGTGGGCGCGCGGAGGAGGAGGAGGCGAGACCCGGACCCGGCCTCGCGGCCCTTCCTGAAGCCTCGGTTACCGTTGACTCGGGCTGACGGCGCGCGAGGCCTCGGGCGCGCACCCCCTCTCCCCCACGTTACGGATCGGGAAGCTGAGATCCTGGGCGGAGAGGAGATTGGGGGTGAAACCCGGTACCCAAGGTCACCCTCCCGGGAAGCGGCCGGGCCAGCCTCGGACTCCGGGGCTCTCCGGCTCAGGGACCCGCGCCATCAACCCCGGTGCGCAGCGACTGGGCCTGAGGCGTCGGCAACGAGGTTGGTCCTGGCCTGGAGAAACTGAGGGAGCCGAGGCTCCAGGCCCGGAGTAGTGAACGATTCTGGAGGCTCCCCCGGCTCCCCTCTCACGGACTTGGCCGCCGCCACCCGGGCAGGCGGTGCGGGAACAGCCGGGGCCGAGGACGCGCGGGGGCTAGGCCGCCAACAGACCTAACGGAGCCGCCGCCGGCGCCCGGCCGCGGAGAGGAAGCCCTACCAGGAGTAAGGGACCGTGGAATACTCACCCCTTTGGGCCCGGAGCCCCGTTGCCACTCGGCACGCCTGCCGCGCCGCTCTCCTCCTCCATTTTGATCTCCGTCGCCGCCACCTCGGCCGCCGCTTCGACCCCTGCCGCCATTTTCTCCGCGTCTGGGCTTTGTGTGAGCGAGCGGGCTGCGCCGCGTAGCGCCTGCGTGCCCACGTGACCCGACGCGACCAGTAACACCTGCGCGCGCCACTGCCGGCTCCCTCCTTGGCCCCACCCGCCCCGGCCCACGCCCCCGCCGCGCGCAAGCGCAGACCGGCCGCTGTTGATTCCTTCGTTCTCGAGTTAACTCTTGTGTTAGGCACCGGCTGGCTGTGCCGGCTGCGCGTCCTCGGAGTCGCATAGAAGACTCATCTCCCCACCTCACAGACACCTAGGCCTAGTCACTCTCAGCTTTCTGTAACCAGAGCTGGAACAGAGGAGGGGAAGCAATGATTCTGTCTAGTGATTCCTGAAAGTTGTAGATCAAGCTGGTCCAACCCGTGGCACAGCACACGTTCGGAAACTTTCTTAAAACATTGTGTCTTTTTTCTTGAATTAATTGCTTTAAAAATTTTTTAAAGAAAAATATTGAATTAATTGCATTAAAAATTTTTTTTAAATTGTGTCTTTTTGTGTAATTTATTTTTTTTGTAACGCAGTTGCGCTGTTCTCCAGCGCGAACTTTGTAGGCAACAACGGAACGGAATGGAATAATCAGAGTATGTTATGTCCACAAATAATCGGAGTATTATCCGTAATTCGCATTATAAATAAAACAATTCGGCCGGAAGAAACAGAAAACTGTTAAAATTCACTAATAAGGGAGCCAGGCGCGGTGGCTCACACCTGTAATCCCAGCACTTTGGGAGGCCAAGGCGGATGGATTACCTGAGGTCAGGAGTTCCAGACCAGCCTGGCCAACGTGGAGAAACCCCGTCTCTACTAAAAATACAAAAATTAGTTGGGTCTGGTGGCAGGCGCCTGTAATCCCAGCTACTCGGGAGGCTGAGGCAGGAGAATCGCTTGAACCCGGGAGGCAGAGGTTGCGGTGAACCGAGACCGCACCATTGCACTCCAGCCTGGGCAACAAGGGCAAAACTCCATCTCAAATAATAATAATAATATTTCAATCTGCCTTTGTAAATGATAGCTTACTGCAACCTTGAACTCTTGGGCTAAATTGATTCTCCCCTCTTAGCCTCTCAAGTAGCTGGGATTGCAGGTGTATGCCACTTGGCTAATTTTTTTTTAATTTAGTACAGATAAGATCTTGCTGTGTTGCCCAGGATGATCCCAAACTCCTGAGCTCAAGGGCTCCTACAGCCTTGGCCTCTAAAAGAGCTGGGATTACAAGTGTGAGCCACTGTGCTGGTCCTTAGAGGATTATTAAAGACAGGCTAACACCAAACTAAAACACTTGAAAATATTGGATTATTAAAGACAGGCTAACACCAAACTAAAACACTTGAAAATATTGGATTATTAAAGACAGGCTAACACCAAACTAAAACTCTTGAAATATTTCATATTGTCTATGAAAATATTGGAATACATTTGCAAAGAAGACAGTTTTCCTGGCCGGGTGCAGTATCTCACGCCTCTAATCCCAGCACTTTGGGAGGCTGAGGCTGGCGGATCACCTGAGGTCAGGAGTTCGAGACCAGCCTGACAAACAGGGAGAAAACCCATCTCTACTAAAAATACAAAATTAGCTGGGCATGGTGGCACATGCCTGTAATTCCAGCTACTCGGGAGGCTGAGGCAGGAGAATCGCTTGAACATGGGAGGTGGAGGTTGCAGTGAGCCAAGATTGTGCCATTGCACTCCAGCCTGGGCAACAAGAGCGAAACTCTG